TGAGAGCGTATGAGAGTGGGTGAGAGGGAATGAAAGCGTATTAGAGTGGGTTAGAGGCAATGAGAGCGTTTGAGAGTGGGTGAGAGGGAATGAGAGCGTATGAGTGTGGGTGAGAGGGAATGAGAGCGTATGAGAGTGGGTGAGAGGGAATGAGAGCGTATGAGAGTGGGCGAGAGGGAATGAGAGCGTATGAGAGTGGGCGAGAGGGAAAGAGAGCGTATGAGAGTGGGTGAGAGTGAATGAGAGCGTATGAGAGTGGGTTAGAGGGAATGAGAGTGTATGAGAGTGGGTGAGAGGGAATTAGAGCGTAAGAGAGTGGGTGAGAGGGAATGAGAGCGTATGAGAGTGGGTGAGAGGGAATGAGAGCGTATGAGTGTGGGTGGGAGGGAATGAGAGCGTATGAGAGTGGGTGAGAGGGAATGAGAGCGTATGAGTGTGGGTGAGAGGGAATGAGAGCGTATGAGAGTGGGTGATAGGGAATGAGAGCGTATGAGAGTGGGTGAGAGGGAATGAGAGCGTAAGAGAGTGGGTGAGAGGGAATGAGAGGGTATGAGAGTGGGTGAGAGGGAATGAGAGTGTATGAGTGTGGGTGAGAGGGAATGAGAGCGTATGAGAGTGGGTGAGAGGGAATTAGAGCGTATGAGAGTGGGTGAGAGGGAATGAGAGCGTATGAGAGTGGGTGAGAGGGAATGAGAGCGTATGAGAGTGGGCAAGAGGGAATGAGAGCGTATGAGAGTGGGTGAGAGGGAATGAGAGCGTATGAGAGTGGGTGAGAGGGAATGAGAGCGTATGAGTGTGGGTGGAAGGGAATGAGAGCGTATGAGAGTGGGTGAGAGGGAATGAGAGCGTATGAGAGTGGGCGAGAGGGAATGAGAGCGTATGAGAGTGGGTGAGAGGGAATGAGAGCGTATGAGAGTGGGTTAGAGGGAATAAGAGTGTATGAGAGTGGGTGAGAGGGAATGAGAGCGTAAGAGAGTGGGTGAGAGGGAATGACAGCGTATGAGGGTGGGTGAGAGGGAATGAGAGCGTATGAGAGTGGTTGGGAGGGAATGAGAGCGTATGAGAGTGGGTGAGAGGGAATGAGAGCGTAAGAGAGTGGATGAGAGAGAATAATAGGGTATGAGAGTAGGTGAGAGGGAATGAGAGTGTATGAGTGTGGTTGAGAGGGAATGAGAGCGTATGAGAGTGGGTGAGAGGGATTGAGAGCGTATGAGAGTGTGTGAGAGGGAATGAGAGCGTATGAGAGTGGGTGATAGGGATTGAGAGCGTAGGAGAGTGGGTGAGAGGGAATGAGAGCGTATGAGAGTGGGTGAGAGGGAATGAGAGCGTATGAGAGTGGGTTAGAGGGAATGAGAGTGTATGAGAGTGGGTGAGAGGGAATAAGAGCATAAGAGAGTGGGTGAGAGGAAATGACAGCGTATGAGAGTGGGTGAGAGGGAATGAGAGCGTATGAGTGTGGGTGGGAGGGAATGAGAGCGTATGAGAGTGGGTGAGAGGGAATGAGAGCGTAAGAGAGTGGATGAGAGGGAATGAGAGGGTATGAGAGTGGGTGAGAGGGAATGAGAGTGTATGAGTGTGGGTGAGAGGGAATGAGAGCGTATGAGAGTGGGTGAGAGGGATTGAGAGCGTATGAGAGTGGGTGAGAGGGAATGAGAGCGTATGAGAGTGGGTGAGAGGGAATGAGAGCGTAGGAGAGTGGGTGAGAGGGAATGAGAGCGTATGAGAGTGGGTGAGAGGGAATGAAAGCGTATGAGAGTGGGTGAGAGTGAATGAGAGCGTATGAGAGTGGGTGAGAGGGAATGAGAGCGTATGAGTGTGGGTGGGAGGGAATGAGAGTGTATGAGAGTGGGTGAGAGGGAATGAGAGCGTAAGAGAGTGGATGAGAGGGAATTAGAGGGTATGAGAGTGGGTGAAAGGGAATGAGAGTGTATGAGTGTGGGTGAGAGGGAATGAGAGCGTATGAGAGTGGGTGAGAGGGATCGAGAGCGTATGAGAGTGGGTGAGAGGGAATGAGAGCGTATGAGAGTGGGTGAGAGGGAATGAGAGCGTATGAGAGTGGGTGAGAGGGAATGAGAGCGTATGAGAGTGGGTGAGAGGATATGAGAGCGTATAAGAGTGGGCGAGAGGGAATGAGAGCGTTCGAGAGTGGGTGAGAGGGAATGAGAGCGTATGAGAGTGGGTGAGAGGGAATGAAAGCGTATGAGAGTGGGTTAGAGGCAATAAGAGCGTATGAGAGTGGGTGAGAGGGAATGAGAGCGTATGAGTGTGGGTGAGAGGGAATAAGAGCGTATGAGTGTGGGTGAGAGGGAATGAGAGCGTATGAGAGTGGGTGAGAGGGAATGAGAGGGTATGAGAGTGGGTGAGAGGGAATGAGAGCGTATGAGTGTGGGTGGGAGGGAATGAGAGCGTATGAGAGTGGGTGTGAGGGAATGAGAGCGTAAGAGAGTGGATGAGAGGGAATGAGAGGGTATGAGAGTGGGTGAGAGGGAATGAGAGTGTATGAGTGTGGGTGAGAGGGAATGAGAGCGTATGAGAGTGGGTGAGAGGGATTAAGAGCGTATGAGAGTGGGTGAGAGGGAATGAGAGCGTATGAGAGTGGGTGAGAGGGATTGAGAGCGTAGGAGAGTGGGTGAGAGGGAATGAGAGCGTATGAGAGTGGGTTAGAGGGAATGAGAGTGTATGAGAGTGGGTGAGAGGGAATAAGAGCATAAAGGAGTGGGTGAGAGTAAATGACAGCGTATGAGAGTGGGTGAGAGGGAATGAGAGCGTATGAGTGTGGGTGAGAGGGAATGAGAGCGTATGAGAGTGGGTTAGAGGGAATGAGAGTGTATGAGAGTGGGTGAGAGGGAATAAGAGCATAAGAGAGTGGGTGAGAGGAAATGACAGCGTATGAGAGTGGGTGAGAGGGAATGAGAGCGTATGAGTGTGGGTGGGAGGGAATGAGAGCGTATGAGAGTGGGTGAGAGGGAATGAGAGCGTAAGAGAGTGGATGAGAGGGAATGAGAGGGTATGAGAGTGGGTGAGAGGGAATGAGAGTGTATGAGTGTGGGTGAGAGGGAATGAGAGCGTATGAGAGTGGGTGAGAGGGATTGAGAGCGTATGAGAGTGGGTGAGAGGGAATGAGAGCGTATGAGAGTGGGTGAGAGGGAATGAGAGCGTAGGAGAGTGGGTGAGAGGGAATGAGAGCGTATGAGAGTGGGTGAGAGGGAATGAGAGCGTATGAGAGTGGGTGAGAGTGAATGAGAGCGTATGAGAGTGGGTGAGAGGGAATGAGAGCGTATGAGTGTGGGTGGGAGGGAATGAGAGTGTATGAGAGTGGGTGAGAGGGAATGAGAGCGTAAGAGAGTGGATGAGAGGGAATTAGAGGGTATGAGAGTGGGTGAAAGGGAATGAGAGTGTATGAGTGTGGGTGAGAGGGAATGAGAGCGTATGAGAGTGGGTGAGAGGGATCGAGAGCGTATGAGAGTGGGTGAGAGGGAATGAGAGCGTATGAGAGTGGGTGAGAGGGAATGAGAGCGTATGAGAGTGGGTGAGAGGGAATGAGAGCGTATGAGAGTGGGTGAGAGGATATGAGAGCGTATAAGAGTGGGCGAGAGGGAATGAGAACGTATGAGAGTGGGAGAGAGGGAATGAGAGCGTATGAGAGTGGGTGAGAGGGAATGAAAGCGTATGAAAGTGGGTTAGAGGCAATAAGAGCGTATGAGAGTGGGTGAGAGGGAATGAGAGCGTATGAGTGTGGGTGAGAGGGAATAAGAGCGTATGAGTGTGGGTGAGAGGGAATGAGAGCGTATGAGAGTGGGTGAGAGGGAATGAGAGGGTATGAGAGTGGGTGAGAGGGAATGAGAGCGTATGAGTGTGGGTGGGAGGGAATGAGAGCGTATGAGAGTGGGTGTGAGGGAATGAGAGCGTAAGAGAGTGGATGAGAGGGAATGAGAGGGTATGAGAGTGGGTGAGAGGGAATGAGAGTGTATGAGTGTGGGTGAGAGGGAATGAGAGCGTATGAGAGTGGGTGAGAGGGATTAAGAGCGTATGAGAGTGGGTGAGAGGGAATGAGAGCGTATGAGAGTGGGTGAGAGGGATTGAGAGCGTAGGAGAGTGGGTGAGAGGGAATGAGAGCGTATGAGAGTGGGTTAGAGGGAATGAGAGTGTATGAGAGTGGGTGAGAGGGAATAAGAGCATAAAGGAGTGGGTGAGAGTAAATGACAGCGTATGAGAGTGGGTGAGAGGGAATGAGAGCGTATGAGTGTGGGTGGGAGGGAATGAGAGCGTATGAGAGTGGGTGAGAGGGAATGAGAGCGTAAGAGAGTGGATGAGAGGGAATGAGAGGGTATGAGAGTGGGTGAGACGGAATGAGAGTGTATGAGTGTGGGTAAGAGGGAATGAGAGCGTATGAGAGTGGGTGAGAGGGATTGAGAGCGTATGAGAGTGGGTGAGAGGGAATGAGAGCGTATGAGAGTGGGTGAGAGGGAATGAGAGCGTAGGAGAGTGGGTGAGAGGGAATGAGAGCGTATGAGAGTGGGTGAGAGGGAATGAGAGCGTATGAGAGTGGGTGAGAGTGAATGAGAGCGTATGAGAGTGGGTGAGAGGGAATGAGAGCGTATGAGTGTGGGTGGGAGGGAATGAGAGTGTATGAGAGTGGGTGAGAGGGAATGAGAGCGTAAGAGAGTGGATGAGAGGGAATTAGAGGGTATGAGAGTGGGTGAAAGGGAATGAGAGTGTATGAGTGTGGGTGAGAGGGAATGAGAGCGTATGAGAGTGGGTGAGAGGGATCGAGAGCGTATGAGAGTGGGTGAGAGGGAATGAGAGCGTATGAGAGTGGGTGAGAGGGAATGAGAGCATATGAGAGTGGGTGAGAGGGAATGAGAGCGTATGAGAGTGGGTGAGAGGATATGAGAGCGTATAAGAGTGGGCGAGAGGGAATGAGAGCGTATGAGAGTGGGTGAGAGGGAATGAGTGCGTATGAGAGTGGGTGAGAGGGAATGAAAGCGTATGAGAGTAGGTTAGAGGCAATAAGAGCGTATGAGAGTGGGTGAGAGGGAATGAGAGCGTATGAGTGTGGGTGAGAGGGAATAAGAGCGTATGAGTGTGGGTGAGAGGGAATGAGAGCGTATGAGAGTGGGTGAGAGGGAATGAGAGGGTATGAGAGTAGGTGAGAGGGAATGAGAGCGTATGAGTGTGGGTGGGAGGGAATGAGAGCGTATGAGAGTGGGTGTGAGGGAATGAGAGCGTAAGAGAGTGGGTGAGAGGGAATGAGAGCGTATGAGAGTGGGTGAGAGGGAATGAGAGCGTATGAGAGTGGGTGAGAGGGAATGAGAGCGTATGAGAGTGGGTGAGAGGGAATGAGAGCGTAAGAGAGTGGATGAGAGGGAATGAGAGGGTATGAGAGTGGGTGAGACGGAATGAGAGTGTATGAGTGTGGGTAAGAGGGAATGAGAGCGTATGAGAGTGGGTGAGAGGGATTGAGAGCGTATGAGAGTGGGTGAGAGGGAATGAGAGCGTATGAGTGGGTGAGAGGGAATGAGAGCGTAGGAGAGTGGGTGAGAGGGAATGAGAGCGTATGAGAGTGGGTGAGAGGGAATGAGAGCGTATGAGAGTGGGTGAGAGTGAATGAGAGCGTATGAGAGTGGGTGAGAGGGAATGAGAGCGTATGAGTGTGGGTGGGAGGGAATGAGAGTGTATGAGAGTGGGTGAGAGGGAATGAGAGCGTAAGAGAGTGGATGAGAGGGAATTAGAGGGTATGAGAGTGGGTGAAAGGGAATGAGAGTGTATGAGTGTGGGTGAGAGGGAATGAGAGCGTATGAGAGTGGGTGAGAGGGATCGAGAGCGTATGAGAGTGGGTGAGAGGGAATGAGAGCGTATGAGAGTGGGTGAGAGGGAATGAGAGCGTATGAGAGTGGGTGAGAGTGAATGAGAGCGTATGAGAGTGGGTGAGAGGGAATGAGAGCGTATGAGTGTGGGTGGGAGGGAATGAGAGTGTATGAGAGTGGGTGAGAGGGAATGAGAGCGTAAGAGAGTGGATGAGAGGGAATTAGAGGGTATGAGAGTGGGTGAAAGGGAATGAGAGTGTATGAGTGTGGGTGAGAGGGAATGAGAGCGTATGAGAGTGGGTGAGAGGGATCGAGAGCGTATGAGAGTGGGTGAGAGGGAATGAGAGCGTATGAGAGTGGGTGAGAGGGAATGAGAGCATATGAGAGTGGGTGAGAGGGAATGAGAGCGTATGAGAGTGGGTGAGAGGATATGAGAGCGTATAAGAGTGGGCGAGAGGGAATGAGAGCGTATGAGAGTGGGTGAGAGGGAATGAGTGCGGATGAGAGTGGGTGAGAGGGAATGAAAGCGTATGAGAGTAGGTTAGAGGCAATAAGAGCGTATGAGAGTGGGTGAGAGGGAATGAGAGCGTATGAGTGTGGGTGAGAGGGAATAAGAGCGTATGAGTGTGGGTGAGAGGGAATGAGAGCGTATGAGAGTGGGTGAGAGGGAATGAGAGGGTATGAGAGTAGGTGAGAGGGAATGAGAGCGTATGAGTGTGGGTGGGAGGGAATGAGAGCGTATGAGAGTGGGTGTGAGGGAATGAGAGCGTAAGAGAGTGGATGAGAGGGAATGAGAGGGTATGAGAGTGGGTGAGAGGGAATGAGAGTGTATGAGTGTGGGTGAGAGGGAATGAGAGCGTATGAGAGTGGGTGAGAGGGATTAAGAGCGTATGAGAGTGGGTGAGAGGGAATGAGAGCGTATGAGAGTGGGTGAGAGGGATTGAGAGCGTAGGAGAGTGGTTGAGAGGGAATGAGAGCGTATGAGAGTGGGTGAGAGGGAATGAGAGCGTATGAGAGTGGGTGAGAGGGAATGAGAGCGTATGAGAGTGGGTGAGAGGGAATGAGAGCGTATGAGAGTGGGTGAGAGGGAATGAGAGCGTATGAGAGTGGGTGAGAGGGAATAAGAGCGTATGAGAGTGGGTGAGAGGGAATGAGAGCGTATGAGAGTGGGTGAGAGGGAATGAGAGGGTATGAGAGTGGGTGAGAGGAAGTGAGAGCGTATGAGAGTGGGTGAGAGGGAATGAGAGCGTATGAGAGTGGGTGAGAGGGAATGAGAACGTATGGGAGTGGGTGAGAGGGAATGAGAGCGTATGAGAGTGGGTGAGAGGGAATGAGAGCGTATGAGAGTGGGTGAGAGGGAATGAGAGCGTATGAGAGTGGGTGAGAGGGAATGAGAGCGTATGAGAGTGGGTGAGAGGGAATGAGAGCGTAAGAGAGTGGATGAGAGGGAATGAGAGCGTATGAGAGTGGGTGAGAGGGAATGAGAGCGTATGAGTGTGGGTGAGAGGGAATGAGAGCGTATGAGAGTGGGTGAGAGGAAATGAGAGCGTATGAGAGTGGGTGAGAGGGAATGAGAGCGTATGAGAGTGGGTGAGAGGGAATGAAATGTTGGTGCAACCCTACGGTTTGCACTCGGCTTGTTGTCCGTGTGCGTGCATGTGTGTGTGTATGGAATGGTATGAGGGCATGGGATAATATATATTTCATGCTTATAATTGTGTGTGAATGTTGAGTCATGATGTCGAGTGTGTGTGTCGAGTCAATAGCGAGTTATCGCTAGACGCGTGTTACGCGGTCGTTTGTGTCTCGCGCGCGGTTTCTATTTTGTCGTGCGCGGTTTCTATTTTGTCCTGTGTTGAACGTTCGGTGTGTCGCAGGTGTGTGCAGTAGACCCATCAAGAACTCAAGGATGAGTTTGTGATGAAGAGCCCGAGCCTTGGTGTCAAGCCTCAAGTGATTTCGAAGCTCGCCAAAAGGGTACACCTCAAGATATTGAAGATAGTTACATTACTTTGTGTAGTGTAACATTTCACTTGGTGTAGGCCCTAGTGAAGGGTAGTTTCGAGACCCTTCGTGGTTGGGGACAGTGTGGCACTGTTCCACATCACTGTACCTCGGCTCTTGGGGTTTGTAGGAGCTGGGAGTCATTCCCAACTCGTAACTCTTCCTAACTCTTCCTATCTTGTGTTCTAAGACTATGTTGCTGTCATAGTGCCGTTCGTTCAAACCGACGCTGTGTCGTCAATACTTGGTCCAATCGTGCGATCTAAATTGCCTAGTGTAGGCGAGAATAAGACGCTCCAGATCCAAGTTGAATCAATTCATTTGATGTTGTGACCAGAACGCTATGAACGTTTGAAGCCGCTGTGCAGAAATCCGACTATGCACTCTATCTTTCGTTTTAGGCACATTGGAGCCTACTGTGACTATAACAAGTGGTATCAGAGCCCCTTGGAGCAGTTTCGACAATGGCTGGATCTAAGGAAAGGGGTGGCAGAGGTGCTGGTGGCAGAGGAGAAGCCCAAGCTCAGGGCCAACCCCGTGATTCAGCCATGGCGCCTGTGCAATCAAGTGTTGGCCCATGTAGGGATGAGCCTAGAGTGTTTGGCCTTGACAAGTTCAATGGTGACAACTTTGCTGAGTGGTCCTTCAGAATGGAGAACATATTTGACCACTATGACCTGCTGGAGGTAATGGAAGGAACGGAGAAGCGTCCCGAGAACGACCCGGAGAAGAGCCACAAGGCTACCTCCTACTTGGGCAAGCGTTGGGGAGCAGCCAAATCCGTCACATCAAGCCTTTCCAGCGTGAACCAGAGAAGGGACCAAAGGCATGGGCTGCTCTCAAGGGTGTACACGCTCCTGCAACAGCGGCGGTAGCTGTGGTGTTGGAACGGCAAATGGCGACACTACGAATTGAAGAGGATGAAGTGGTTGAAGAAGGGGTGCAGAAATTCTTCGACTTGTTGACGCGGCTTGAGGGAGCTGATTTGAACTATAGTGGGCTCCAAAAAAAGACCAAGTTGCTGGCCCTACTCCTTGAGTCATGGTCCTCGCTCATCATCAACCTTAATCGCGACTTGCCCCGCCTCTCGCTTGAAGACGTGAAGCGAGCTATCCTTCAAGAGGATTTCCACCGCCGTGAGTTGGTGAGTGCGGATGGCGCTGGGGCAGCAAGCATCGGCCGTGGATATGGTCGAGGAAGAGGTAGAGGACGAGGGGGAGGAAGGTTTGGTGGCAGCAACTTCGGCGGAGGCCGCGGGAGTGGCGGTTACGGCAGCGACAACAAGAGCTACGGACGCGGTCGCCGCCGATTCGACGGCGAGTGTCACTATTGCCACAAGAGCGGACACATGTGGCGCGACTGCTACAAACTCCCTGATGGTTGGACCCCTGCTCAAGGCCAAGAGGGTAGAGGAGCAGGAGGAGGGAGAGGAAGAGGCCGTGGAGGCCGTGGCGGTCGCGGTGGCGGAGCTGCAAACATGAAGAGCGGAGACAACGACAAGGACCCGAGCAACGATCGGTACCCGGGTCTATTCTACTTCGTGTCGACGCAAGTACCGACTGGTCCAGAGAAGGATGAAGGCTTTGAGGAGCCAGCAGCTGTGGGGAAGGTGACTCTACACCCTCTGGACTATTGGGTGATCGATAGTGGCGCTACCTATAGCATGACACCTCGCCCGGACTTGCTCACCGAACTCGAACCGTCACCGGTGAAGCATGTCACATCAGCTTTGGGGCAGCGAGCAGAGGTGAAATGCATGGGCAAGGCCATGTTTAAGGGTGCTGATGGGAAGATGGTGGGCCTCAAGAATGTGCTTTGGGTGCCCAGCCTTGCTGCCAACCTGATTTCCGTGCGGCGGTTGGCAAAGGCCGGCATGGACACGAACTCGAAGGGAGCCAAGACCTATACCGCAAGGCTTGGCGATCGGATTCTTTGGGACCTTCATGAGGACAGAGATGTCTACAACGAGATGTGGCAGATCTCTGTGGTCCCAATGCCTAAGGAGAGGCAAGTGGCAGCAAGCGTCAGCACCAAAGGTGGAGCGGTTGGTAGCGGCGATTGCGCGGACGGTCGCGCTAAGGAGAAGGAGTCCAAGAAGTGCAATCTTGGAGGGACCAGAAAGCTTGGTGAACCTATGGAGAGAAGTGCAGCAGCCAAGGAGCAGCAAAAGGTTGAGGAGAACCCCGAGGCAGCAGCGGAGGAGGACTACGGAGAGAGTATGTGGGGCGCTATTGCGAGCGCGGCATTCTCCAATCCAACTTCGGCTACGGGGGAGTGTGATTGGCTCACCTTGCATCAGCACATGGGGCATGTGGCCCTGCCCATCTTGCAGCAGCTAGTAAAGAACGACATGGTTGCTGGCATACGTGTGAAGGGGGAGCCCGATGAGGTACTTGGCTGCCCGACGTGCATGCAAGCCAAGTTCACCCGTTTCCCATTCTCTAGTTCGGAGGCAACGGCTAAGGCACCACTTGATGAGGTGGTGATGGACGTGGTGGGCCCCCTGAAGCTTGGAGCTGCTAGAGCTGAGTACTTCCTCACTATTGTGGACGTCTACACCCGTATGACTTGGGTGTACGTGCTGGCCAAGAAGAGCGACGTGGCTGAAACGTTGAAGGCGGATTGGTTCCCGATGGTGGAGCGGCAACAAGACCGTCTAGTCAAGTCAATCCGCACCGATCGAGGGGGAGAGTTCCTGAGCAAGGAGTTTGGGTTGTGGCTGAAGAAGAATGGTATTCGGCACTCCCTCACCATGCCATACTCCCCTGCAATGAACGGCATCGCCGAGCGAGCGAACCGCACAATCACGGAGGCGGCACGCGGGTTGCTCATTGAAGCCGGGCTACCCGACTATTTCTGGCCTGATGCGGTGCGGAGCGCGTGTGTGGCCAAGAACCGAGCCTTGACTCATGTGGGAGCAGAAAAATGGGTGCCCTATGTGGAGTGGCTAGGAAGGAAGCCAAAGGTGGATATGCTTCGGGTGTTCGGGTGCATGTGCATGGCGCTCGTGCCTAAGCATCTTCGGCACAACAAGCTTGGTGCCAAGGCGGTGTGGGCCGTGCACTTGGGCATGGCTCAAAACAGCAAGGGATGGCTTCTTTGGGACCCATTCACCAAGAAGTTCTTGGTGAGCAGGGACTGCAAGTTCATGGAGAACTTCATGTACAAAGATTGGAAGGCGGAGAATGAGGCGAAGATAGGCGTGCGGTTTGGGGAGGTGAAGAGTTCCGGCTTGGAGCATGTGGAGCTGCCTTTGGAGCTGAGCAGCGGCAGCACAACCACGAGGCAATCCTCCCTTGTGAATGGGGGAGAGGAGACCAATGATGCAGAGGAAGAAGAGGAGGAGGTGCAGCAAGTGAGCGAGCATGCACCGACACTCCCTTCCTGTTCTACGAGTGCTCCACGGATTCGAGCCACACCGCAGCAACGCCAAGGCCTTCAAGTCCCTGCAGCTGAGGAGGAAGGAAGGGGGAAGAGGAGAATTCAACCCCCTAATAGGCTGACCTATGATGCGCCGGGAAAGCAGGGCAAGACAGCCCTGGCCGAAGCGGCAATGATGGTCGGAGACGACGAGGAGAGTGACTACGAGGAGTGTGCCTTCGCGTTCTTCTCTCCGGTGGAGATGCCGGGAGAACCAGCAACTCTCAAGGAGGCTTTGGAGAGTAGTGATGCTGAGGAGTGGAAGAAGGCCATGGAGAGTGAGCTGAAGAGCATCAAGGAGAGTGACACGTTTGAATTGGTGGAGCTACCGGAGGGGCGTACGGCGATAACGTCCAAGTGGCTCTTCAAAATCAAGTCGGATGCCGACGGCAAGATCGAGCGCTACAAGTCTAGGCTTGTAGCCAAGGGGTACCAGCAGAAGGAGAAGGTGGACTTCAAGGAGCTGTTTGCCCCTGTGGTGAAGCCGACGACGCTGCGAACCCTATTCGCGGGAGCCGCCATCAAAGGATGGGTAGTAAAACAAATGGACATCGTAACGGCATTCCTTAACGGCATCCTTGAGGAGGAGATTTTTATGGCGCAGCCAGAGGGGTTTGATGATGGTAGTGGCAGAGTGTGGAAGCTGAAGAAGGCCCTCTATGGGCTGAAGCAGGCCCCTAGGCAATGGAACATGAAGCTGCGCGAAGTGTTGGAGGAGATCGGCTTCACTCCCTCAACGGCCGATCACTCCTTGTTCATGCTTGGCGAGGGGGAGCAGAGGAGCTTCATGGTGGTTTATGTGGATGACATTCTTATATTCTCACCCTCCTCTGACCTTGTGAAGGAGGTGATGCTGAAGCTGCATGACAAGTTCAAGTGCAAGTCCCTTGGTGACGTGAACTTCTACCTTGGGCTCCACATCGAACGAGACGTGGAGAAGCGGAGCATGCGAGTGCACCAACGGAAGTACCTGGAGGCGTTGGCTGCCAACTTCGGCCAGAGTGAAGGTCATGTGGCTACTCCCTTTCCCTCTGGGTTCAAGTGTGTGAAGGGACCAGAGGAGGAGAGCGTTTGTGAAGAGGAGAGGCGCCGTTTTCACTCGTTGGTGGGCAGCCTCATGTATGCGGCGGTAAACACCCGACCGGACGTCGCGTTTGCTACCGGGCAGCTGGCTAGGGTTGTGCAATGCCCTAATGAGGAGCAGGTAGCAGCTGGAATGAGGGTGGCCAAGTATCTTGGCCAGACACCGACCGTTGGGCTGCAATGCTCGGCGGCCGCACAAAGGCGCCAAAAGGGCGCGGATGGTGTTGAACCCGGGCGTTTGTTCCTCACCGCCTACTCGGATGCGTCATATGCATCGGAACCAGAGGACATGACAAGTGTGGGAGGCTTCATATGCTGTGTTGGTGGAGGTCCAACTGCTTGGGAGAGCAAGAAGCAGGTTGACCAAGCTTTGAGCTCGGTGGAGTCCG